CAGAAGACAGCCTCTCAGATAACTCTGATAAACTGCTCTGAAGAGGTAAGGGCGGAAGTCAGTATATATGTGATTTTGGTGAAGAGGGATACATGCAGTCAAGCACACATTTTGGCAGAAGGTTGTTGCTAGTCATGAGGAGCAGATGTCTCCATTTATGATTTTAGTGATTCTCTAGATATGAGAAGGTGCAAGAAACTGGGCTCATAAAATCTTCTGAACATATCCAACTATCTGAAGGCCTGTTCTGCCAATTTTTCCCAGAGCACAGAATGCCTCATGCCTGATCTCTACCCTAAACTCCTTTCAGGGTGTGTTGAAGGTCAGCAACTGCAGTGGCTTGAGACTTCATTTTTGTGGTACCAGATGGCAAGTGACAATTTTTTAGTTGTCACCACACACCGGCTGGGTGAACTTGGACAAGTTGTTAATCTTTGAGAATGTTTTCTGAATTGTGAAATACGGATAATACCTATCTCACAGGACTGTTATAAGTTTTAAATGAGAAAATATATGTAAAGCACTTCTGATGGTACCTGGAACATAATAGACTTAATAAATGGTAATTAGGAATTTCCCTAGTGGTCCAGTGGGTAAGACTCTGCGCTCCCAATGCAGGGGGCCGGCTTCTATCCCTGGCCAGGGAACTAGATCCTGCATACATGCTGCAACTAAAAGTCTGCATGCCGTAACTAAAGATCCCACATGCCTCAACGAAGATCCTGCGTGCCGCAGCTAAGACGCAGTGCAGCCAAAATAAATAAATAAATATATTTTTTAAAAATGGTAATTATATTAGAAAGAGTCCTGGTTAGGTTTTAAAACTTCAGCAACATAGTTTCATATGGCCCCTCAGGTCTATTGGTGGAACTGGTCATGTTGACTTGGGAAGAGTAAGTGAGAAGAGGTGACAGATATTTTGGGAAAAGATAAATATTTCTGGGGTTAGGGATTAATAAGGACAAACTTCAGGATTTAGGAGATACAGAACCAAGTGTCTACAGTATTGGAAGAAGCATAGGGATTTTATTTGTTGTTGTTGTTGTTGTTTTCAAGATTCAGAAGCATTAATGGGACAACTTTCAAAGCTTGGGGAAGAGAGAGAGAGGGAAGAAGTACAGGAAGTGAAACCTTGCAGGACCCTGTAGGGCCCTCCAAGGTATAAATCCTTTCCATGTCCCCCGTTTCTTATCTGTAGGAAATAGTCTTCATTCAGCCTCCTTGACCTTTCCTGAGTTCCAAAGGGCAGATTCAAACAGTTGTTTATCAGGGAAGGGAGGGATTGCAGAAAGAAAGAAGGAGCAATCAAGAAACAGTAGTGCAAGCATGGGGCAGGTTCCTGGTTCCTGTTCAAGGAATATACATAACAATATATGTTTGAGCTCTTCTGCAGGAACTAAGGCCCCTTCCCAGGTGGAGGATGGTAACTTCAGGCTAAACACTAGATTCTGGGAACACCATCCTGTTACCTCACCACCAACCAATCATTAGTCTGTACAAGGTAGAAGATAATGAAGACTCTGACCCCCTCCCCAAATGATTCTCCTTTTAAAAACTTTCATGGTCCAGCAGAATCTCTGGAGTTGGTTTTTGGACACAAGTCTGCCTTCTCCCCAGGTTGCCAGCCTCCTGAATAAAGCAACCTTTCCTTTCCAACCAACTCTTGCCTCTCAAGTATGGGCTTTCGAGTGGTGAACAGCTGAACCTGAGTTTGGTAACAGAAGTCCATGAGGTTCAGAAGAGTGACAGCTTTCTGAAACTTCAGAAAAATGACATGGTTTTAGTGTTTCAGTGAGTTAAATCTCTGTTTCTGAAAATAGCTATACATGTTTCTGGAGCTCAGGTGAATTTGAGGTCGACATAGCTTGGGGAAAATGGTGAGTTTCATAGGTTCTCTCTAAATGATTTTTAAAAATGCATTCCAATTTTGTGATTAATATGGTATACTATGCATCATGGCACATCATGCTGCAAAGAATAATTTACAGTTATTGAAAAGAATTTAAACTTAACCAACCAACAGGTGTTTCATCACAACATTCCAGTTGCATGTGGCCATAGGAATATTTTCTTCATCTATACATTTGAAACTGTTATAATCACATTCTGAATGTTCTGATGATTTTTGAAGACCTTGGAATAGTTCCATTTTAGTTGTTCATTTTTTAGGGGTTCCTTATTTTGTAGTTGTATTAGAACTGGCTTCAACAAGCAAGCAGGTATCTTATATGATATTTGGCTAATCCACGATAGGTAAATCTGGCTTTAGCTGCACTGAGAGAGACAATGGAAATTTTGAACTACTCTTGAGTGGGGCTACGGAGCATAAGCAGATAGGGTAGGGGATCCTTGGAGAAAAAGAACCAGGCATGGCTTTCTTGACAGAGCCATTTTGTTATCTAAGCCTGGCCACAATGCTTGCCCTTGAACAGATCTCAGTAATTAATGATCTTAAGGGAAGAAAAGAATGCAGAAACATTGCCTGTTATTAGGCAAGAGAAGTTCTAAAGAGTCCCAGTTCTCTTTCAATGGCAAAGATTAGCCTGGAGTGTTCAGCTACCAGTGCTCAACTGGAACCTAAGGGATAATGATGTTGACGTTTTATGAACTTCATGACTTCAATCAACTGATGCTTGAACTCTGTCAACCACCCAAGCCCTTTCGTGAATATGCTTAAAACTTCTCCAGGTTTGGGCTTCCCTGGTGGTGCAGTGGTTGAGAGTCCACCTGCCGATGCAGGGGATGCGGGTTCGTGTCCCGGTCCGGGAAGATCCTACATGCCGCGGAGCGGCTGGGCCCGTGGGCCATGGCCGCTGAGCCTGCGCATTCGGAGCCTGTGCTCCGCAGCGGGAGAGGCCGCAACAGTGAGAGGCCCGCGTACCGCAAAAACAAACGAAAAACGTCTCCAGTTTTACAGTTCTGGGAGACACTGCTTTGGGAAAGATCCCCAGGGTTCTCCTTACTTGCTGCAAGTAATAAATCCTTCCTTCTCTCACTCTTTGACTTCGTTGCGTCTTTTGGCTCAACACCCACCAAGAGGCAAACCCTGTTTTTTGGTAACGGGAAGGGAAGAAAGGGCGTAAATGATGTAGAAGCTGCTCAGGAGCTGGAGAGCACAGGGCAGCAGTTCAGCTGGGGTGTGGAGGCTCCTGCTAGATCCCTCATTGGGCTTTAATCCAGCCACACTGTTATGAAACAGGGGCTCTTTGAAGAAATTACTTGGGTCACTAAGGTCGGAGACTCCTGAAGTGCCAGCACCCTCGTGTAATCCTCCCTCCCGTGGCCTTGGGATCAATAGCCTAAAGACAAAGGAGACCTCTGTGCTTTCCACCTCCGGGGCAGGAAGGGGAGCAGAATGCTTCAAGGTGGCTTACAAAGCTATGTCTTAAAACAGACTTGGAGAGAGCAGTGATTCAGAAAGAGGTAAGAAAACTTGGGGGGGGGGCAAGTCCTATTGAAACGTTTAGCGCAGTAAAGTGGTCTGAGGGGTCCACATAAGTACTAAGAACAATGATTATTTAATACAATTTTGCAACCTTAGAGCTGGAAAGGACCTCAGCAACAATCTAGTCCAAACCTTTCGCTGCCATGGAACTCTTCCTTCAAACAAAATATTCCATAGGAGTCTAAGTACAAACCCACATGAAAGCAGGATTGTTCTGGTTGGGGAAGGGTGGGGGAAGGGCTGGGCGAGGTTAGGAAAAGAAAGCTTATTCATGAGATTAGAAAAAAAATTTAAATCATCATGGAAGAAAATCTTTGAATTTATATTTTTATCATAGGCTAAAGAAAACATTGATTGCAAAGAGTAAAGTTCCCCAAACTGACACATTATTAATTTATAAAGTGAAGTGCCTTTGGATTTTAAGGGCCTTTTTACTAAAGCCATGAGAACAGGGACTATGACTTTTAGTCACACGGAAATGAGCCTTGGATGGAAATTTGCAGGTTTATGGACCATGCAATGAGTCCCCAAGCCCCACCAGGTGGCGCCCGTGTTCGGCATTTCCATAACGTTTAGTTCTCTCCTCAAGGGTCAGACAGCCTGCCTCGTGTTTTGTAGGTTTAGATAATCCGACTGGCTGTTACGCTCAAAAAAACAACACTTGTGTTCTTCTGTTTTAACCTCCTTCCCTTTCACTTTTGTTCCAACTATCCAAATCCGCTTAACCTTGGTGTTGCCGAGGCATCTTAACTTTTCAGAAAAGTAAAGGGAAAAACCCCACCCATTCCAAGGAAGAAGACAGGAAGAGCCTTCTTTCCAGGGGGTCTGGTGCAGCAGGACGAAGGCTGGGAATTTGGAGACATTTAGTTCAGGCTTCGCCAACCACATGATCTCCTCTGGCCTCAGTTTCCTCATCCTTAAAATGGCTCTGAGCCCTACCATCCGTGGCATCCCATTGCAGGGAAGTCAGGGGAGTCTATATAAAAGAGGGATGTCATCTAGTATGCTTACCGAGGTTAAATGAAAATATTCGTGGCGCCGGTGGTGTCACAAAATGGGATTATTACTATTGGTTTCCTTTGTTAACTCATTACCCTCCGGAGGGACGCCCCTCAGTGAAGTCTGAGAAATTACCCATGTCTTTCGTTCTTATTTTATTCATATTCAAGGGAGGTTTTAGAATTCTAGGCTGCAACTTGCTAAGAGATAGCTGACTGTGAGGTGCCGGCTGCCACTTCTGAGGCAGAAATCGGGGGCTTCTATTTCACAAACCCTCCGTCAGGGCCTTTCTCCGTCCCCAGCCGCGGCCCTCAGGCCTCAGCCAGCGACCAGAGAACCTCAGGCGGCTGGTTCCGAGCCTCCCGCCTCCCACCTTCCGGAGCCAGCTAGAGCTTCCGAGACACGCGCCGCTCAGTGGGGAGAGGCCTCGGCCCCGCCCCTGTGCGTGTCCGCGTAGTTGCGCAGAGGCGTTTCCCGGGGCGTGCCGCGGTTGCTAGGCGACCACACCACTCCCCTTCCCGCCCCTGCTGCTCCTCTGGCTGTTCTCGACCCCAGCCAGTCCCCAGCGAACGCGCGCGGAGCTGCAGGGTGTGCAAGAGAGTGTTAACCGAGGAAACGTCGCGGCCCGGGAGGCAGCCGCCCCAGCGCAGGTGGACGCTGCTCGCCTGACCGTCCAACCGCCGCCCCTCCCTCCGGGGGTCCCGAGCTGACGGATGGGAGGCACAGCTCGCGGGCCCGGGCGGAAGGATGCGGGGCCGCCAGGAGCCGGCCTCCCGCCCCAGCAGCGGAGGTAACGGCGCCGGGGGATAACGGTCTGGGACGCCCGAGTGAGCCGCTGAAACTGGCAGGCGAGGTCGGGGGGCGTGGATGGACTGGGCTGGAGGTTGAGCGAGCCCCCAAGCAGGAAGGACGAGGGAAGGGGTCTGACTCCCTCCCCGGGACTGGCCCACCCTCTTCCTCTCCATCAGCTCCCCTGCCCCCAGCCCAGCGCGGGAGTGGGCCAGAGCGGAGTTAGGGAAAGAAGAATTCCCACCATGGGGATTATTTCTGAAATCCTAGATCGGGGGTATATGGTAAGGAACTCAGAAGCTGGGATTTTTTGTGGGGCTTTTTAGCAAACTGGGGGAGACAGGGAGCAATACCTTTTCAAATAAGCCCTGTTGCTCAGAGCAGATAACCAAGGGCTTTGCCGTGAGGGGTGTAGGTGAGGGGCTCTGCTGAGTAGGGCTTTCTGTGGATCATGTTTTGAGAGATTCTCCACCTTGCATTGTATTTTACACCTTAATGGAGAGTACGGACCACCTGCCCACTTCATTTGCATGGAGACTACCTTTGGGTAATTTTCTTTGGCTATTTATAGGAAATCTTGTAGGTCTTCAGTCTGTCTTTTTCTCTGTAAATGTGGACGTCTGTCCCATTTTGTTTGTTTTATTCATGCTGTTGGCAAAGAATCAGTCACAGCCAGAATTTTTGGTTCTTGTCAATGAAGCAGTTCCCGTTAAAGGCATAATTTTATCAGAATGTAAGCATGTTTTTTAAAAAGAGAACATTCCAAAAATATTTGTAGTGGGTTTTCTGTTTGGTTTTTGTTTTTCGTTTTTTTTTTTCTCTTTGTATTCCTATAACACATCGATTAAGAAAACTCTAGAACTAATTGGACAAAACAGTTTTTATAAGCCACTAAAATATTTCAGCATAGTTTTAAAGATTAAAAAAAATTCTTCCCTTGCAGCTGGCTCATTATCATTGTATTCATAGTCTATCATGTAAAAATGATACAATGAAATGCTGATGTGTGTTACTGGGAAATCCGTGTTCTTGGTGGCGGATGAAATACATTATTCAGAGCCATCTTGTGGATTAAATAAATCCTCTCCGTCTTTTGTGTTCCCTTACAGCGGTGGAGGCACAGTGTTAAAGAGCAGAGAAATGATCATTTGGCATTTAGCTTCCACCATCCACCAGAAAATTAAGTGGGTAAAGATGTGGAATCCAGTACATTTTGTAATTTAGAGAATCCCTATAGTATTTGCCGTAGAATTCACTGTATTTTTCTACAAGTTAGATAGATGTTAAGTAGGAAAGTAAATAAATAAAGAGAAAACAGCCCTAAGAAGGCCTTTTATTTCTTGCTTGTGAGACCCAGAAGTGCGTAGACTGGAACTACTCTTCCCTTTACAACATGTGGCCAACGGCTCAGAGAGGAAGGTAGAGTAGCCAGTGGTAGAGCTGAGATTAGAATCCAAGTCTCCGACTTGAAAATACAGTTCTCTGTCTTGTTTGTTTGTTCTGGTTAGCTTTTAGGCTTCAGATTTCAACTAGCCTTCGTTTTCAAGTAGTAAGTTAAATGAGATTCTTTTGATAGCCCCTATTGTTAACAACATTCAGAAAGTAAGACTTATGTTAACGATTTCAAAATATAAACCTAGAAATGCTGTCCTTTCTTTAAAAATAAAAAAAGGAGGAAAAGTTGGGTTTCCTCTCTTCCTCTGCCAAATACCCCTGTGGTGTGTATTCAGTGCCAAAATGCAGTGTGGACATTTGTTTGTCTTAATTATTCTTTGTAGCAGATATGAAGCAGTTAAGACACAGGGTGTTTTGGAAATACAAATTTATATACTTCGGTTACTGACAGATTTTATCTGTAATCCTTTCAACTAGATTGGGTGATGGTGTCTATGATACCTTCGTGATGATAGATGAAACCAAATGCCCACCCTGTTCAAATGCACTCTGCAATCCTTCTGAACCACCTCTACCCAGAAGACTAAATGTAAGTAAATGAAGTAATTCTTTGAGCTCTACTGGGCCTGGAAAGCAGGAAGTGCTACTTTAAATGGTCAAGGGACAGTTACATCTCACTGGTAACCCAGGCTCTTTTTTATTCACTTTTGGTTTCTCTTGACTTACAATAACAATTTCTGTGGTCCAAGTTCAGCTTTTCAGAATGATTTTGATTTGGAACCCACCTATTCCTTTCAATCACTGGGGTAAATAGGGAAAAAAATGACATGCTACTTTTATCTAGATAGTGGTTATTTTTTTAATAGAATGAAATGTACAGTATATTATGATGGCTCATTTTAACAAGAACAAGAAACAGAAAATACCTCTGAACTTACAGATCTGCAGATTTTCCCTGCACGGTAGAAATGCAGTCCTAGCTTATTAGTATGCTTAAGAGAACCATTTTATAGATCATAAATAGAACTTGAACAATACATTTTGGTTTCGATGCATTTAATCATTTTGGAGCTTGCAGACATTTAGCTTTTGACACCGTTTTACGTTTAAGAGAATAAATTAATTCCCATTCCCTCGGCACTCATGGAGTGGTAGGGAGAGCAGGGTTTGGACAAGTTCCATGATAGGGAGAATCTCTCCTGTGACTTTAAAATTTGCTGCATGTATCATCAATGAACAAACTGAATAATTGAGTAGACTAATTTATCAATAATTCTCCTTCATATTTCTGTTTAAGACCTAAAATTATTTCTGTGTAAAAAACTGCTTGCATTTTTCATAGTCCTTCCCAACGGTTTGTCAGCTTTTGCCATTAAAAATCAACCCCTTCACTACTTTCAAGGCTAATAATATTACAAAATACGGGCTACATATATTTGGAAGGCTGGTCACCCTATTTTTAATCTCCTTTCTGAAGTGCAGTAAGTTTCCATTCTCCACAAGCTTATTTTTTTTAATATGTAAAAACCTCTAAGAGCTCCAGAACCACCTATATACTCCTTGTGTTGACTATCAGATTTCGTGGTTACTTGCTGACAATTAGCACATCTCTCTGGGAAACTTTTACAGTCGGTCATCATGTGACTTAAAGTCCATTTTAACTTTACTTCAGAGTTGGCCAGTGCTAATCACCATATAGTAGGGCAATTAAATTATATGTTTCAGGGTCAAAATGAATTTTTTTACTGTATGGTATTCAGAGTAACACAGCTTGCAAAACACAAGATTTTAGATTCTAAACCAATGGTGTCTTTGCAAATTTTGCTGAAAAAAGTGCTTTTGACCTCTTAGTAACACTTATAGTTCATTACGCCATGACTCCATTGTGAGACGCTATTGCTCATTTCACAGAGTCCTTTGGCTTCATTGTTTATCCAAGATGCCCTTACATTCTTGTTGTAAACTATAAATCGTCTGCTCATAGGCTTTTATTGGGTTAGCTTTGTGTTGCAGAGATTTAGGGTGGAGAGCGAGGGAGAGGGTGGTGTTCTATATCTGGATGAGAAGGATATTCCTTTTCTGAATTTCTCAGCAAGATCTTTAAGACTTGATTAACACAGTTGAAGATTCTATTTGAAGTGTCGAGAGTGCTCCAAATTGATCAGCTCGGTGCTTTGTGACCACCTAGAGGGGTGGGATAGGGAGGATGGGAGACGCAAGAGGGAGGAGATATAGGGATATATGTATATGTATAGCTGATTCACTTTGTTATAAAGCAGAAACTAACACACTATTGTAAAGCAATTATACTCCAATACAGGGGTGTTAAAAAAAAAAAAAGAGTGCTCCAAATTAAAAATGTATATGAAGCATTCTTAAATAAAACATGATTAATCTGGCATTATTTGTCTCTCTGGATATAATTACATAGTTAAATATTTGAAGTCGATTGCAGACATTGGTCAGTTATTGTGATTATAACCCTAGACTAGAAATATATAGTGTTTTGTAACTACTTTAACATGTGTGAAAATTGTAGATTCTCCTAGAACAATGGAAGGAAGATTTTATTTATAGCACAGCAGACTTGATACATAATTGATTCAGACCAGTATTTGAGTTATTACAGGAAAGGAAAGAAAGCTAAGGCGAGAATCCCTCCCTGTGTGGAAAAATTCCTTTCTGGAATTCTTCAGATTCATTGGAGGTTCAAACCTTGACAGTCCACAGCGGACTAGACCTGAAGTGTCTCGTTCTGTTCTGGGAGCCACACTTGCAGAGAGACATAACGTGCAGCCCATAACATGTTGAGAACGTGAATAGGATATAGTAAGGCAGCCTGACCCAGGCTGTGTGAGGTGGAGGATGTGATGGGGATGATGAGCCTAGAGAAAAAGTGGTGAAGGCAGGACAGCCCCTATTCGGCATCTGAAGGGCTTTAACATGGAAATTTGGACACTCCTGTGTAGTTTCGGAGGGCAAAATAAGACTTAATTTGCAGAGAGATCTAGGCTCACTTTAAGGAAAAACGATGAGTCAGGAAATCCAAATGGCATCCTTAATCTTATTGTAATAGTTCTGTGGAAATTAAATTTCTGTTCTTATTAACATTCTGTACCTGAGACCCTCTCTTTATCACAAACAGAAATGAATACCTCCAGAGCCAGCATAGCCTTACTTTAGGCAGAGTAGGTGAAATACCCAGGGGTGGACCCTGGACCACAAATACCTTTCCTACCAGCTTGTCATTGATGACTGCGGGTCCTAGAGAGTCATTCCCTTGGGTTAAGGCATTGATCTTGTTAAGGGGCAAATATCTCTGGAGAGATAACCCATTAAATTGCATGGCAAGTTGAAAGGAGGTTTTATGTGGGGGAGAAAGTGGGTGAGGTGTTTCCATGCATCCTAAGGGAAGGCTGCTTGTGCAGGCCTTCATGGAGCAGAAGGCATAGTTAATGCCAGATGTCTGGTGGAGGGAGTCTGGAGCTGCAGAGGAAGGTACCACAGAGAGAAAAGCTAAGCTAAAAGGGGAAAGGGAGGGTGTATTGGAGTTTAAACAATATATTGAGAATTTTGCCGAATTGTTACCAGTGTTTTTAACATGTTTTATAGTTTCTGAGGGTCTTTCACATATATTATTAATTATAATTTGATTCACACAACATCCTGCGAGGAGGTATTATTATCCACATTTTAAAGATAAAGAAATTGAGGCTAAGAAACTGGGCTAAAGGTTAAGCCTACCCTGGGACCTACAGTTTTGGAGCAGTGTAGCCAGGACCCCAACCTAGGCCTTCTGACTTCACATTTCTTCAGAATGTGTCCCCAGGACTTTAGCAGTAAATATTTAGATGCATTTAGGTTAGGTAGTAAAAATTTAAGGAAAACTGGTTTAGATGCATGCAAATATTTGGTTTTGTTATGTAAATCTACCTAAAACCAAATAATTATAATTCCCTAGTTCAGCCAAACCTATCTCCTAATAGATTGTAGTGCCTTGAGGTAACCTGTTTTTTGGCACTTTTATAATTGTGAACAATTAGTGCTCATGTGAATGTTAGATGGATGGATGAGACCTTTTTTTTTCATCCCTAAAAACAGGAATGGTTATTTGACTTCATTGCTGATAAAAAAAAAAAAAAATGTTGCATTATATTTACATTTTAGCAAGGTGTTTAGGTTCTGTCTGCAAGCCTATTTTATTTTCTTGACTAATGATAGTTCTCTATTTTGGTATCAGAGATCTCTCCTGGTCCGTATCTTGCCTCTTTATTTAGAAACTCAATGCCAAAGTATGGCTACCGTTGTACTGGCTGCTTTGCTTATACGTAAGATGGTGCAGTGCCTCATTTTTGTAACGGTAGTACTATATAAATGTTTAAATTGATTAAATGACCTAAAAGAAGCAGGCAGAAACTAATGTCATGCTTTTATAACTAAATTAGGGGCTGTCCAAAGTATGCCAACACTTAATTTTTTTTTCATCCCTTTTTTGTTTTTTATATTTTCATCTTTTATATTTCTATTTATATAGGTGATGGGTCAGGTGTTGTTTGCTTAGGTTATATTAAAATTCTACTTTTTAAATGGTTGGCCACTTTGGATCATTACCTTATAATTTGAGTTATATTTTAAGAGATCATAAATATAGCTCAGAGCTTCTCTGGAATTATCTACCCCTGATCATAGAGGCTCTCAATCATACAGATCAGGGGTACAGTTATTCAGGGTCTGTTAAGAAAAATAGTTGTTCTTTGAAGTATCCCAGACTTTTTTTTTTTTTTTGCGGTACGCGGGCCTCTCACTGTTGTGGCCTCTCCCGTTGTGGAGCACAGGCTCCGGACGCACAGGCTCAGCGGCCATGGCTCACGGGCCCAGCCGCTCCGCGGCATGTGGGATCTTCCCAGACCGGGGCACGAACCCGTGTCCCCTGCATCGGCAGGCGGACTCTCAACCACTGCGCCACCAGGGAAGCCCAGCCCGACTTTTTTTTTTAAACAACAGATTTAGCACTTTTTTTCTTCTTTCCTGCTAGCACATTCTTATATTTTTCTTAGTATTTTTTTTAGTGTTTGGCTTTTTCGTTGTCTTTCCCTCCATCGAGTTTCAAAGAATCGTATTTCATTTCAGAGGTATTTAATAAGTAGAGTTTTCTTCTGTGGGTTATTGTTCCTTGCAGGAAAAGGTGATGCCAAATCAAGTAAAAAGAGTTGTATGCCTTTGTCACGTAGGCTTTTGTTGAGGGAGACTAGTGTATGTGTCTATGAGCAAGGGAGGGAGAGAGAAAGGAGACTCTTTGTCTTTAGGAGAGTTTTACAAGAAGCACCCTGGGGCCTTAGATTCTCACTGCTATTCATCAGATACATAAAGAATTGGCCTTGGTGATCTCAAGAGTTCTCTCTGGATTAGAAATTTTGTGATTCAATGACCTGAGTTAGAAAGATGTGATCATTTATTTGGGGACCCAGGAGTAGATGATGAGGCCTTGGTTGATTCCAGGCCAAGGTCAACGTTCAGCCCTACTGGAGAATAGTACAGGCACTAGGAGAACCTGGTACCAGGTTATGTTAATGTTCTGGACCAAGGTTCCGAAGACCTGGGGATCACTTCCTGCCTCTGTCCCTTTATCATTTACAGAACACTTTAATGTGTATTAATTTGCTCCTGGTACATGCCCTTAAGATTTGGGAAGATACTTGAAACAGTTTGTAAACAATATAGGACAGTATATATATAACAAGTGCCGGATTACGCGGTAGACTCGAAAAGCTGCAGTTAAGATGTGAGTGGAGCCGTAGTTAGTACGGGCTTGGAGTAGTTCTAAGTGGAAGAGGGAGGACTAGCACTGGGCTTTGAAAGAGCGTAGGATTTGAGTGGATGGGGTGAAAAGATTCTCGGTAGGAAGACATACCAGTTAGAAGGAATCTAGCATGTTTCGGGTATGGTAAGATGACCGTCTTGTTTTGAACAAAGGGGAGGCCTATGTAGCGGGGTTGGGTTGGCCATAGCAGTCAGGGAACCTAAGGATTAACATAACACGAGTTTCTAGAGACTCCTGCTTCTCTTATCTCACTTTTGGGTCTTTTAACTACACAACTGGCATGTTTTGTTGTTTTGTTCAGTCAGGGGGACGATTCTTTCATTCTTCCACCGTTTTTAGTGACTCTAACATGGATTCACTTCTCTTTGCCGTAGATCACTACTGAGCATTTAACAAGAGATCCTACTCAGCGCTTTCTGAATGGAGGTGAGATGAAGGTAGAACAACTATTTCAAGAATTTGGCAACAGAAGATCTGATACCTTTCAGTCAGATGGCGTCAACGACTCTGAAAAATGCTCTCCTACAGTTTCTCAGGGTAAAAGTTCAGATAGTTTGAATACAGCAAAATCCAGCAGTTCATCCAAAGCCCCCAAAGTGTTGCCTCTGACTCCAGAACAAGCGCTGAAGCAATATAAACACCACCTCACTGCTTATGAGAAGCTGGAAATCATCAATTATCCAGAAATTTACTTTGTGGGTCCAAATGCCAAAAAAAGGCATGGAGTTATCGGTGGTCCCAATAATGGGGGTTACGATGATGCCGATGGGGCCTATATTCACGTGCCTCGAGACCATCTAGCTTATCGATACGAGGTGCTGAAAATTATTGGCAAGGGCAGTTTTGGGCAGGTAGCCCGGGTCTATGATCACAAACTTCGACAGTACGTGGCCCTGAAGATGGTACGCAATGAAAAGCGCTTCCATCGCCAAGCAGCCGAGGAGATCCGGATTTTGGAGCATCTTAAAAAGCAGGATAAAACCGGTAGCATGAACGTCATCCATATGCTGGAAAGTTTCACGTTCCGGAACCATGTTTGCATGGCCTTTGAGTTGCTGAGCATAGACCTGTATGAGCTCATTAAAAAAAACAAGTTCCAGGGTTTTAGCATCCAGTTGGTTCGCAAGTTTGCTCAATCCATCTTGCAATCCTTGGATGCCCTCCACAAAAACAAGATCATTCACTGTGACCTGAAGCCAGAAAACATTCTCCTGAAACACCATGGACGCAGTGCGACTAAGGTCATTGACTTTGGGTCCAGCTGTTTTGAGTACCAGAAGCTCTACACATATATCCAGTCTCGGTTCTACAGAGCTCCAGAGATCATCTTAGGAAGCCGCTACAGCACGCCCATTGACATATGGAGTTTCGGCTGCATCCTTGCAGAACTTTTAACAGGACAGCCTCTCTTCCCTGGAGAGGATGAAGGAGACCAGCTGGCCTGTATGATGGAGCTTCTAGGGATGCCACCACCAAAACTCCTGGAGCAATGCAAACGCGCCAAGTACTTCATTAACTCCAAGGGCCTACCTCGCTACTGTTCCGTGACCACTCAGGCAGATGGGAGGGTTGTGCTTGTGGGAGGTTGTTCACGGAGGGGTAAGAAGCGGGGTCCCCCAGGCAGCAAAGACTGGGGGACAGCACTGAAGGGGTGTGATGATTACTTATTCATAGAGTTTTTGAAAAGGTGTCTTCACTGGGACCCCTCTGCCCGCCTGACCCCAGCTCAAGCACTAAGACACCCTTGGCTTAGCAAGTCTGTGCCCAGACCTCTCACCATTGAAAAGGTGTCAGGCAAAAGGCTAGTAAATCCTGCAAATGCTTTCCAGGGCCTGGGTTCCAAGCTGCCTCCAGTTGTAGGAATAGCCAATAAGCTTAAAGCTAACTTAATGTCAGAAACCAGTAGTGGTATACCTCTGTGCAGTGTATTGCCAAAACTGATTAGCTAATGGACAGCTGGTGTGCTCAGATATGATATGTAGGTATTTTTAATTATCTTGCAAACCTGAAAATGGAAAAAAAACCCAAGCCCATTCATGGATATGGTTTTGGTAGACTAGATATCTTTTTTTAACAAGGCAAAGCATTTTTATATGACTGTAAAAGAACTCTTGAAGGGCTAATTACCTAACCAGCTTGTATTGTCCATCCTGGGATACATAGTAAAAGGCACTTTATAGGTCAGTGCATCTTTTGTTATTATCGTCAGGTGTTCATCAACCTGTGTATTATTCTGTTGGTTTAAATCCCTTTCTCTCAAGGTAGACGATGTACCAGAAAGTATATCCTGAACATTCACTTCTAGTCTCCCTTGGCATCTGTTGCAGAGGGTTAATTTGGGACATGACCGTAGTTATAGATGAGACTCAAAGCTAGATCTCTGGCGCCAGCAGCCTGTCCTGTGGGCTCATGCTAGGTGAAAGGGCTCACAGCAGAGTATGGGGTGGGGGAAGCTCCGGGAAGCTGTGGGTCTAGAAAAGTCTCGTCACTGCTTCCAAGTGGCTCATTTCTCTGCCCTTCAATTCTGTGATGCCTGGTGTTTTTATTGTATGTTGTCGTTACTATTTTTATTTATTATTATTTTGCCACTGGTTTGTTTCCTGGGCACTCAAAGCATTTTACAGACATCTTACCACTTCACAAAGTACTGGCTTTAAAACAAGTCATATGCATCCCTCCTCCCATCTCTAAGGAAGATAAAGAAGTTCTTGGCCCCAAATGACCCAGAACGTTAAAGGTAGAATCAGCCTGCAAACTGCAGTTCTGCATTTCCATGGACTCTTTCCTTATAAAAGTGATTGCTATCACATAACCCGAACTACAGGTTCATTGCTTTCGCTCCTCTTTCCAGCTATCTGCCACCTTAATGTGCCACAATTTTCTCACTTTCAGTTTAAACCGAAGACTATTCCCTAGACTGGGAGTGAGCTTCAGATATAAGAAGAAAATCCAGAAACTGGTGGTAATCCATTTCATTTTTTCTTCACTTCAACGTCCTCTCTTTTTCTCTGCTAAGATTTAAACAGTGAGGGCTGGTGATAAAACTACTTGCTAGCCAGATGCCTTATTCAGAAGGACGGTGAAAGGGACAGTAACTAACTCACTGCTGCAGTTTTGCTTTCTTCCCCCTGCCGTGTCTCTACTTCCACCCTCCTCCAAAACAAGAGTCCACCTGAACTCTGTCCCGACAGTGTGTCCTTCAGAGTAGACCGTTGCTTTCTCCAACACTGTTCTCAGGACTATCCAGTTCCATTTTTATGATAGAATTTAGTCTCTACAGATTCCATAAGGTCGGAACAAGGCTGTTTTTGTTGGGCAGCACAGTCACAAAAAGAAGGAAAATGCCATGGGCATGTTACTTAAGGAACCTGTGCCTTAACCAAAAGTATTCCTCACAGCACAGGCTGTGAGAACAAATGTCCAGAGCATGGCCCCAGCCTGTCAGGCACAAGGACCACAGGGCAGAGAAGGGTTCAGACTGTGACCTCAGCCTCTTAAAATGGGGATGTCCTGGTACTTCTGTGGACTGAGCAAGTGGACTATTTAAAACCTTAATTATTTCCCCTACCCCTAGTTTAGGGAAGGCAATGGCATATGCAGCTCCTTTCAGCCCCCTAACTCCTGCTGAGTGCTCGAACTTACAGAGAAGTTGTGTAAGCCTCCTGCCTTATCTAGGCAGAGCACATGGTGAGGTGGCCTTTCCAGTCGTTATCTGTGTGGGAGACCTGCTCTCTTAAGCAAACTGTGTTGAAAGGACTGCAACCCCAGACGCATCTGCCACGTGCAGGATTTCGATGTTTGTGTTGTCAGTGAGATGTCTCCTTGGTCAGCCAGCATTGTGTGTGACTTGGGAGAGAAGGGAGCCTGTGGCCGAGGTTGGCATGTGGTCTGTTTTTGTGTAGTGAATGGACCATGAGGTTACAGAACCTGGGCCAAGCGACAGGATATAGACAACCCATGACATTGTACCCATTCTAGAAAGCTCTGGGAGGGTGAATGGGTGTGTTTATGCCTAAATTTGGCAACCTAGAGGGTGACGCAGAGCAGAGTCATTCAAGTTGGCATGGCTGTCTTCTGCAGGCCGGTTCAAGTTCGGGGAGAGTGGGCTGCTCTAAAACATGGCGTTTGTACCAGATGGATTTGAGGAGGTTTATGAGTGTTTCAAGTTTAGGGACAATTGTAGTTTTTAGAAGCTGTCACCCTTTTTCTAGCCACTGTCAGATTTTTGCTTGGATCCCTGCCCAGCCATAGCACTGAATGACCAAATTGGATCAGAGTTAGTACAGAGATTCAGGCTGTGTCTTACGGTTGCTAGATTGTTCTTCAGCCATTTTATCATTTCAATTAAACAGGCCAAGTTGGTTGACTTTTTTTTTTTTAATATTTATTTATTTATTTGGTTGCACAGGGTCTTAGTTGTGGCAGGCGGGCTCCTTAGTTGCGGCTCGCCGGATCCTTAGTAGCAGCGTGTGGGCTCCTTAGTTGTGGCAGGCAGGCTCCTTAGTTTTGGCTTGCAGGCTTCTTAGTTGTGGCTCACCCGTTCCTTAGTTGTGGCACGCGGGCTCCTTAGTTGTGGCATGCGAATTCTTAGTTGCAGCATGCATGTGGGATCTAGTTCCCTGATCAGGGCTCGAACCTGGGCCCCCTGCACTGGGAGCGTGGGGTCTTAACCACTGTGCCACCAGGAAAGTCCCACCTTCTTTTATTGATTTTTTGTTTTGTTTTTTTTTTTACAGTGTGGAGTTGGAGAGCAGAAAGGTACTCCAAGGTTTGTTCCTGGGTGTGGGTTTGGGGGGCTTGGAACTACATTTGTTGAATCACAGTAAATGAAGTAGTATGCACCATCATGAATGAGGAACACTCTGTATTGCTATTTGGAAACTGGATATGAGGCTCCCAATCTCAAAATCAATGCAACTTTCTCCAGGGGTCAGCTATTCAGAAAATCTTGGCTTCAATAGAAGGTCTAAGGTATGTGGGCATTCAGGAGGATCTGCCCAGTCTTCCAGACAGAAACATTTCCACTATCGTGACAAAGGGATGAGGGCAGTTTGGCTGGGTTGCGTTGTTCCCTGAAGTGTGTGGGTAGAATGGCTTTTGTAGGTAGAGGGCAGGGACCGGGCTGATTCATCTTTGCAACACCCTCACTTGGGAGCAGCAGCCAGCACCTTCCCCACCCTTCACCACCACCATCATCACTCCCTCCTCATCTCACTTGGTTCCTCTGAATCTGGATCCCATGATTGTGTCTCGTTGGCATCCTCAATTCCCCTTCCTCCTTGCCCTTCTCACTGAACTAGCCTCATAATCCCTCAACATGGACCAATTACACATCTGGATTCTCACCTGCATTGTCCACTTTTGGGGGAAAAGATTGTTCAGTTGTGAAAATGGGTACCCCACAAAATACCAGGCAATGAACCTGCAGCATTATCTCATTTGCTACCTCTGCAGGACGGGAGTTATTATTATCCCCACTAACCAGATAAGAAAACTGAGGCTCGGTTCTTTTTCGATGGTAGATTTGAGGAGCATCTTGGGGAGATAGAATTATTTATGCCTTACTTGTTTGTCAGCTAAGAATAGCTGCTGCTATTTTAATTTTATAATGTCAGTGTCTTTTTGATGCCCCACCCATCTTGATTAAATTATCACTTTATTTGGTCAAGATTTTTTGGAGCCAATGAGAAGGATGACAGTAGAAACCAAAAGTGTTTGTTTTCCTTACATCTCTGAAGGTGACAAAATCTGGAAGAGGAAACGAGGGTGAAGTCCCAAGTTTCTGATTGAGCTCTAGGAATGAGATGGAAGGTTTCTTTATATCATCTGTTATTATCATTGTCACTAGAATACAAAGGTCATTGAATCTTACTGCATGAGTTAGTTTTATCTTTAACCACCCAGCTCCAAGAGAATGCCAGAAACTGTCTGCTGATCCTCTTCCGTGTGTCTTCTCCATATCTTACTTCTGGAGATGATGTTCAGGTTTTTTAAAGATAACAGTTTCTAAGTTGAGAAATGGGAGAAACCGTGTTCTAATGTATTCCTTGACTGGTCTGTGAGCACCGCCTTCCCAAAGCCTTGCCAGCTACTACATGGCTTGTCAGCAGTCCTTTGGGTGTTTCCCAAGTTCACTCCAATTTAGTAAGAGTCAGCAGTGAGGTGTAGCACACAACAGGGGCTTAGCAGGGAATGCAGAGATGGGTGGGTGATACGGTCCCAGCTCTTCCTGACCCAAACTTGCTGTGACTGACTTTTAGCCAGTCCACTTCAGTGTCTTCACTAGCAGGCAGTGGACTTCTCTTGCTACTCAGAGTGGGCTGTGGGCCAGACCAGCATCATCAGCATCTCCTGGAAATGCAGAGTGCCGGCCCCATCCTAGACCTTATCAATCAGAATCTGCACGTTAACAAGATTCCCAGGGGGTTCACATGCACATCAAAGTTTGAGAACTGGATTCTGAAATACACACTAACAACCGTCATTCTCCCCTTGCCCCAGGAACGAATAAAATAGTGAGGAGACTTGGGCTTGATGCCTGACTCCGAATATAGTTCATCTCTGACTTGGGCAAGCTGCTTCCTCTGGAGCATCACAACATTGAGGTGTTTCTCCTGATTAAGGAGAATGGAGCTTAAACGCCCAACACCCACACGACTCTAACCCGACTTTTCTAACGGTAAAGTGAGAAACAAAAGCCAGGCCGCAAAGAGTGGAGCGGGGTCACTGTTTTTCACTTTATTTTAATTTATAGGAAAATTTAAATACAATTCTAGGTGGAACTTTTAAACGTTTTTAAAAAAATTATTTGAAAAAAAGAAGCATTTAAGTCAGATCCATTTGGCTTTCCTTGCCACCTTCCCAAGCTCTTTCCATTCCCAACTGCCATCCAGGCAGGGACTCTTCTCACCCCTTTTATTGATTTTTAAATTTACAAAATCAACCGAGTTTCCAAACTGTTATTGACACAGTACAGAGCTGGGTAGGAATGTTTGTTTTATTTCATTCCTAAAATCATGTTTTTCTTTCAACATGGCAAATTGGCTAGTCCAGCTAATACCTGCTCATTTTATTAGACTCCATCCCACTTTCTACCCTCACAGTGATTGATCTGTGCATCATGTGCTATCACGATTTCTCTTGTGTTAGAGTGCGAGCTTCAAACGGGCATTCCCATTCATCATGAAGCTCTGCGTTAATCGGTTGTGATGCTACCGAGCATGTGCAGATGATGCGGGTTCGTTTCCGTCCGGGTACCAGGAGTGTGCTCACCTCTTGTCTTCTTTCAAGTCGACCTATGTAGTCAATCTCCCATCTCTTCTTTTTGAGAGAGGGTAATTGGAGAAGGGTTATGTGAGGCCACCTTCTTCTGGTCCGGTATTTGACACTGATAATAATGAAAAGGAAAATGCAACCATAACCTAACTATGGTATAAAGATTCTGCTTCTGTCTCCCAGGGGCTCTGTGAAGAGGGAAAGAGTCTAACCCGCATCTCCTTTCCCAGATGAAATTAATTTATGACCATAGTAGTATACTTTATTCCTAGGTGTTTTAAGGTGCGGATTGGGACAGACAGGTTAGCTGGCTAATGTCATTGTATTTTAGTTTTCATGACACTGAATCTGTTAAGAACGGGGTTTCTTGCGTGATCAAAAAACTGAACAAAAGATTAAACAAAAATTTCAACTGTGAAACAGTCTGGATCTGTAGCAGCTGGTCATGTTGAAACTTTCTGTTTTGCTGAATTCCTAACTAGGCATAATTAAAGTTAAATGCAAAATTTTAGGTAGCAGCCGATAAATTGTTCTGGGATTTCCTAACAGAATACTCCTACTACTTTAGTGAATCATGGAAAACTCTTTCTCATTTACTTTTGATTATTTCTCTTTCATCTATTATTCAATGTCATGAACATAGAAGTTGGAAGAGTGACAATGATTGTTCCAGACTGCGTCTGTATGCTTTTTCTCCTTTGAGAATTAAGGATAAGAGCTTATCCTTTGAACCAGGTAGAACTGCCGGAACACGCTCTCCTCTGTCTCTTCAGTCTCGCCAGAGGTGACCAGTCTGTACAGCCCTATAACTTAATATGCACAGAGCAACTGCAGGCATCCACAACGTGAACGACCTGGAGTCTTCCAAACAAGGAGAGAGAGACAAGGCCAGGGACCAGCAAATCAGGGAAGAGTTGTCCTCTGCCAGGAATCAGCCTCTCCGTTTTTAATAACATTTTTCATATCCTCTTTTCAACATAACATGTCCCACTTTCACCTTCAAGCTGTGCTTCCTAAAGCCCAAGATTTTAAAAGAATTTACTTCCAAACCTGGCCTTCAACCAGAATGTGATTAGGGGTAATCCTCTCCAAGTGTCTGTCAAATTATGCCCGCTAATTTCAGCGAGAAAAATTTTTCAGTGAACCCAACCATGTAAGGACTAAAAGCTCTCTGGTCCCTGAGAGCCATAGCCCCTGAGATAAGCCAGAGCTACAAATATATCGTCTAGACTTTAAAGAAAGGATATGATTCTTAATATAGCTCAGCAACCACTAAGTGAAGCCCAAGCTCTCATAATTTTTTCTGTGACAGGAGAAGCCTGCCTGACAGTTGACTCGAAACATTCTCACCTCTTCTGCTACCACAGAAATAAACTAAAAAGAAAGGACTCCCCTAAATCAGGCCAGATGATGACCTGTGGCTGTTTCAGCTCAGGATGTCAGCCTCTAAAGCATCAGGTTTGAATCATTTGGGATCATGGGATTCTATCATTGTTCACTTGAATCTGCTGACACACTTCCTCTGGAAAGCGCAGTTTGACATGGATGAGTCAGTGTTTTTTTTGTTTTTTTTTTTAATTTTAGGTTGTTCGTTTTTTAAAAAATAAAAATTGCTTTGAGAATTTTTCAGCATCTCATAACTGTTTCAAAACCAAGGCTGACAACTTTCCCAGCAGGCCCTGAGTGCTATACTCTGAAATGTTCCCAGTGTGGTAGGCAAGTTATCAATCACTGAATTTTTAGGGCTGTGCTGCAGGTACAGCCTCTCTTAACTTGATGGCAATGACAGAGAAAGAAAATGCTCGAAAAAGAAAATATTGGGATGAGAAAAGGAGTGGAATGAGAAACAGCCTTGTAGAGATTCATCCTATAATATCCTTTTAGTTCCCCAGAGCGCCTGTCCATAAGCTCTGGCATTGTTGTAAAGAAGGGAGATTGGGAAACAGGCGCAGTACTCAGGGATGGCCTGCTTCCCGGAGCCCTCACAATCGGCTCTCCCATCAGGAGAGAGTTATCACGTTTACTCTCCTGGGGCCTAAGCTTAGCTTAAGGATGAGGTCTGGCGAGCAGTTTAAGGAATGCAGCTTATTTGGGAAGTTTCCGGGGTTTTTGTCTGCGGGTAAGTAAAGCTTAAGGGAACTGAGCAAATGGAAAGGGAAAGAATGTTTTTGGGGCCCTCAGGCACCTTAGCTGCTGCCTGCTTCTGATTGGCCCTGAGCCCTTCCTGCCCCGGCAACAGGAGCTAAGTGGACGCGGAAGAACTGCCTTCTGCCACCCTTGAGTTGTCCCTTGGCTTCTTGAATGGGCTTCCTGCTTTAGGAGAGCAGGGCCTAAAGCTAGAAAAGGACCTTCCCATAACTCACATGAAGCTGCTGCATGTTAGAAAAACTAACTTCGGCTGGAGAAGCTACAGGCCAGGGGGAGGTTAAAAGAACATAGCTGTTCAGATTTCCCCATGATCTAGTACACCCCAAGCCAGGACACTCCTATGGTTTTTTGTTGCGTTTAAGGCAAAAGCTTATCAGAGCTTAGAAAAGGCAGTGAAGTGGCAATGAGAGCTCAAGGTGTGTTGTCCTTTGCCTTGCAATGTCCGGGAAGGCATCCGTCCAGAGGCACATGAACTGACTGTGGCTGGACGGTGCCAATGCTGAGGGCTGATCTTGACCTTTCTGTAGCATGCGTTTGGGTGCAATGCGCCCTGCTTGTTTACAGAGGCTGCTCAGCCCTGCCTCTGCAAGTGGCTGCTGACAGCTTCTGATGGCAAGCAGACTCAGGACACCCAATCCAAACCACCGCGGAAAATTCTTAATCATCCCTGGGGGGGATCCCTGGCCCAAACTAAACTCACCTCTGCCCTTCTGAAGCCCGTCCATACAGGCCTTCATTGGTGCATTTATTCTCTTGACAGTGACTTACTGAGCAACTGCTGTGTGTGTGAAAAAGTGCACTCGAGTGGCATTTGCCAGGGATGGAGCGCGCCAGCAGCACTGTCGACTGTTTGTTCAGAATTTTAAAAAGCCAGGCAGTGGAGTTAGAGAAAATGCCAAGTTATCCACAGTCCGTTCTGGTTTTAAAATTTGAATAAATCTGCAAGTGAATGGGGTGGGAAGGGGAGAGAGTTTCAGAAGAGAATGTTCTGAGTCTGCCGAGAGTTGGAGTCTTGTGTTCGGAGCTGAAGGCTGAGGAGGAAAGATGGTGTAGAGACACGCTATCCCCTTGCTACGTGGCTCTCACTTCCCTCTGTTTCTGACCTTGAAGATGAGACGGGGTCACCCTCGGGGTTCCTCCGACATGATTTCAGGTCAGGGGTGTGACGCTTGCTGTTCCCGCCTCAAACATCAATTCTATTTCTAAGTTGCCATCCAAAGCAACCCCGGGGGGAGGAGGAAACGGCTGGCACCAGGCTTCCCCACCTCTCTTGCCTCTCTCTCCTTTATTTCCCTCGACAATAAGCTGGCTTGCGTTGCTGTTTTCTCTGGTTGCTTAATCAACATTCTTTACTTCTGTCCCATCATCAAACCCTGTCTGAGCCCAAGACTGAGGTGAATACATGGGATGGAGTCAGGAACTTCATCCCTGAGATCCTTTCCTACAGTTTTCGAGCAGCCGTCCCACACTGTCCTGGCCCCAGTGCCCTCTCAGTAAACCCTCGTCATCCAGGAGTCCCTTTCCTCTCTTTGAAACCCAGAGTCACTCTCTGCTTTCAAATGTCAGAGCGATTTCCAGGCAAAGCAGCATGAGTGACAGGGAGAAGGCTCCAGACCTCGCTAGGAGACCACAGGTGCTCCCCCTTGATCCTGCTAAAATAAGGGTCCAGGGTTTCCGTGGTGGATCTTCCTGCAGGGACGACTGTTTCCCAACTGCTGTGTCACACCCGACACCCCTGCTACCTCAACCTGGCAGCTGCATGGCAAAGCGTAATCCCTCCGTTCACAATTTAGTCCCAGCCTTCCATTCTACCACATCCAGAGGAGAGAGGTGCAACTTGAGTGGGGAAAGCCTGGGTGGGGCTGAGGCTGGAGGAGGTGCCGCCGAGGCTGAGAGCTCTTCAACCACAGAGTCACAGTAAAGTCAGAAGCTGGAGCCCCGGGCTCTGGGAGCGTCCTCTCCCTGCCCCCAGCTGTGTGTTCTGCAGGGGCTCCCCCAGTGGGCACCAGGTCCCCCCTACCACCTTCTCTTCATTCTTTCAGTAAATGAATGTGCCAGGCAGTGTGCTGGGCGATTCACACGTGATTAAGACGTTTGTCCTTGCTCTCAAATTCAGTGGAAAGTTAACCTCTGGTGAAGAACTGACATACGATGGGATACGTATGACGATAGACGCAGACTAGATGCCCTATGGAGTCTCCTCCTGTCCAACCCCCCCAAAAGAAGAAGGGTAGGGGTGGACGTCAGCAAAGGGTTTTTGTGGTGACTGCCCTGTCCATCACTAGCCATGACCATTTCCCCCACTGACCACCCACTATCTACGCTGCCTCCTGGCTCAGCGACCGTGGGTGAATGGTGCCCAGACTCTTCGAAACTGAGAATGTGCGAGACTGAGGCCCAAACTGGAGAGAGCAAATACCCATGTCCCTTTGGTCAGTAGCAGAGCCAAGGTTTGGAGCCAGCCTCTCCACTGCTGCTATCAAAAAGCCATGCCCCATTCAACACCTGGCCTCCATGCAGTGTTTACACCGCGCTCCCAGCAACCCTCCTTCCCCAGTCCCCAACCAACTCCCCAAAGGTGCCAGAATGGGGGGGTTATTTTTACCCACAGGGTTGGGAAAGGGGAAAAGGCTGAGGCTGGGGCAGTTCAGTGGCGCCAGCTGAGGCTTAAATACAATGAAAAAGCCCCACCCTTCCAGCTCTGCCTGAAGGGAACCCAGCAGGAGATAAATAGCGCTGTGTGCCCTGCCTGCAGGGCTGGCCTGCATGTGTCTGCCTGGATGAGAGCCGGTCACATGAGCCGAAGCTGCTTAAAAAGAGCTCCGGTAATCTCCCGGCTCAAGTGTCTCCTCTGGCATGGGGAGCTACGCGGGCAAGGGTGCCAGCTCTTCTTCATGGGGCCTGGGTGGGCAGGGACGAGCAGGGGGAAGGGGCAATTGGGGCCAGGGAGAGAGCCGGCCAGTGGGCCTTGACTCCAGGCAAAACCATCAGTCCGCAGGTCCGGGCACTGGGACAGGGTGATAAGTCTGGTGAGGGCTGTGTGGATAGAGAAGTCGAAGGGAGAAACGCTTGGCAAAAGTTCCCTGATCAGGTCTTAATATGGCCAAAGCCATTGTTGCCAGCACACCCCTTGCCCCCTGGTGTGTGTGTGCACACCGCCCCACCCACTGTATAACTTTTCTCTCCCATAGCTTTGTCCCCCTGCATGCATTCCTGCCCCACCTCCAACCCCCCCACCTCCCCCAGCTCAGAGTGTCAGCATTCCTCTCCCTTCAGCAGTGCACCTGACCCTGTTCCCTTCTCCCGCCCACCGGCTCCTGTGACACAGGCCGGTGGCTGCTTCTCTCCAGGCCTCAGTTTCCCTCCAGGCTGCATGTTTCAGACCTGGTCCTCAGGGCTCTCCAGGCAAACTAGGGCAGCACACAGAGAGGCTCCCGAGAGGAGAGTTTTTACTCTGGAACTGATCTTTTACTGAAGTCCCTGAACTAGGTGAAATGATTCAGCAAAGCTCAGGACCTTCTTGTTCAGATACGAGTTCCCTGAGATGTTGGGGAGCCTTGAGCCAAGACACTCATTTGCTCAGATCCTCCTGGTGAGAAAACACCTTGTGTAGAATGGCTGGAAGCGTGTAACCCCATTGCAGTGGGGTGGCTAGATAGCAGCCTGGGGATAACAAGGAGACAAAACTTGTTCTCTGCAGGACCACACGGTGCTGTGGAATGGGGAGTCCAAGGGAGCAGCTTGACCTCGAGGAGGCGGGATAGGGTGATGGCCCGGGGGTGGGCAGGCGGGGCTCACTCAACAGCTCTGGAGATTCTTACTGACTAGATAGATGGTTGATTGTTCAAGGGGGAAATCGGGACCTCCCCCCCCAAAAAAAAGAAAAACCACTCCCAGTTAGCAAATCTAACTGGTCCAGAAAAACACTGACCATATAGGGAGGCAACAGGATCATTTGTGATTTCAAGAACTATCCTGGAACTCCAAACTCCGTAGAGTTTCCTCCTAAGGTTGGGGCCAGATGCCCGCATTCTCTGGCTGGAAAATTTATGAAATCAGTGGGGGATTGGGACATAGGCAGAAACATCTAAGTTCTTGTAATTAATACATTTGCTTCTGAGCCAACTTCAGGCACCAGTGTAGAGCAGGATATGAAGAAGCCAGAGAGGCACCAAGCTACACGTGAGGATGAAAAAGTTTCCTATGGATACTGGGTCCAGTCCCCACTCAAACACGGAGGAATTGGGGAGAGTCTGATGAAGAGGCCACTTACAAAATGTGGACAAGCACACAGGCATAGCCTCATGGCCAAGAGAACCTTAGAGAACATGGCTGTGGGTGAGGCTGCAGGAGAGGCCCCTCTACAGGAGGCCCTTTGTAGAGGAAGGTGGCCCTGCCAACCTCTGGCCAGCAAGGAGGAACCAAGGGGACAAATATGCTGCCATCTCCTCTCACTCCTGTGCCTCCATTGACC